AACGAGATGGATTGGCCAAGTGGCAGCATCGATGGACTCAAGCGTGGCAACAATAGTGAGGTTGGCCCATGATCTGGCAGTGTTTCGTTCTGCTGTGCATAGGGTCGCTATGAGTTGGTACCGACTGAATGGCACCTAACAACAACAACACAGTATACATTTCAGCATTGATTTTATCTAAGTGTATCTGTGTTTAGAATCATCTTTACTATATCATGCATAATGAAGATACCAGTATAGTAATTTTCTAGTGTATGTGATATGATTATAATATGCTATTTAGTAGGTTATTATTCAGGATCTAATTCCTTCCTAGAGTCTTAGCCTCTACGAGGTTTAATGATTATGATACCTTACCTAGAAGATGGAAAAGGGAAGACAGTCATTAATTTTTCTGATTGTAATAAATGCCAATTTGTGAGAAAGGAAACTGAAACTAAAATTTAGGTATATTCTGAAGTTTAGGCATTATATGTAGTTTTGTTCATTTGTTTGTTTAATACCATACTGTCTCTGTACCATTAACACCACAAATTGAAAGAGTGATCTTATTGACTCCAGGCACAACAATTCTCCAAATAGGACAAATTTAGACACGGATTAAATTAGTGCCTAGTGACAGTTTAAAACTATGATTTTTTTTTTTTTTTTTTTGGCCTGGGAAAATTTCCATACCTGTGGTGAAAGTAATGGAAGTCTGATGTAAGAAAGTAGCATCGCCAGGTCTCGTTGCCTAGCCTGCATATCATGTCCCACCCACTGCATTAGAGCATTGAAAATGGTCTCTTCATTGGGTACATTAATATCATCACTGCACAGAAGCTTTGACATTTCATTAGCTGGAAGCAGGAGAAATTCTTGGTTCTTTATCACCTCAATGAAGTTTTCCTAGAAAAGAAAGAACTCTACTTACACTTGGCACATCTTAACAAAATGAACTCATCAACGCATTTTACTGAGTTAAACTGCAAGAAAAGGACGGAAAGGCAGATATAGTAATTTACAACAAATAGGTGGCTACTGATGTCTATGCCAGAGGGAAGGGGAGATGGGGCTCCTGAAACAGAGTTAAATGATTTAATTAGGAATTATTTATTAAACACAAGTAAAATGCCATATGCCTCATGAGTAGAGCTGCTTGAACTGACTGCAGTGTTTTTCCCTCCCAGCTATTGGACATGACAATAACAGCTCTTGACTCCAGTGCTAGAGGTTTTCAAGTAGGTCTTTAGCCAAAAATCCTAAGAGAAGTAAAAGTTTTCCAAGTAGAGGCTATCTTGAATGCCTGGGAGAGTTAGCTTGGGATGTGCATTTGGGACAAAAGATAGACCCTTCGAGGTGAAAATATGCTTATCAGGTTCCCAGACACTTAAATAGATTGTTGAAAAAAAAATCTATTATTTTGGGCAAAATTATGATCTACTAAGTAAGGGTAAATCATCCCTTTACAGGATGAAAATCTAGAGATTCAGGATGAAAATCTAGAGATTAATCTAAAAGGGATTGATTCCTATGAAGATTTGCTTTGTTTAATTTTAGGAGAGGTAAAAGCTATCTTTCCACTTTCATATAGCATACCCCAATTCTTTTTCCTGTCGTTGTGTTGACTTGTGTTTGGTAAACAATGAAATTTCAGGAAGATCAATTTATTTTCTCATTAAAACACTACTATATTTCTCCAACTTATATATGTTATATGTATTTTTGACAACACAATTATCATTTTTAACATTTCTCGTACTGAAAATCTCTACAAGTAAAATGTACATTTGAAATGAAGATAAATAACAACTTATGTTTGTACAATAATCTGGGAGCTGTTTAAGCGTCTGAATAATTCGGGGATATATAGAGAAATCTGGGAGCAGCTTAAGCCTCTGAATAATTGGGGAAGGTTTAGAGAAATCACATAATTGCCTGTCATCAATTGTAAGAAGAATCATTGTAGAACTGAGTTTTCATAATCAAAAAATAATCTACACAACAATCATTAAAATTGATTGATCCACCAGATCATCAGGAAGCTATGATGACATAAATTCCAATACAAACCAACTTGTCTGTTTGTTAACAGGAAACCTTCTTCCGACTAAGACAAACAATTGGGAGAGAAATGCTGTCAATGTCCCTGGTTGAAAACCTCACACAGCACTTCACACATTGCAGACTTCTTTCACAAATAATAAATCATCACAACCTTGTGAGGAGGTGGAATTATTCTGATTAGAAAACAGGAGATATGAATTGTCTGGTCAATTAGGTAGTAAAGGGCAATGTCTGAACTCAAACCTATGTCTGATATCATGTCTAGTACATTTTGAAGAGCACTGTAACTGCCTCTCATAAGTGATATAATTTTAATGGAATTTATAGTTATGTACTACTAGCATTGTATATAAATTCTTAAGCTGTATTAATATTATGGAAAAAACCAAACAATACAGATAAGATCACATAAACTGTCCTTTCTATTTACTCACCAATGAAAAAACAGAAAACAAAAAATAAAGTGAGAAAGTCAGGCAGGAAGGCAGATGTGTAAAACCAGATGTGTAAAATCAGTGTGTAAAACCAGTACAAAGTCTAATGTGGATCACAAATAATACGTTAAGTTAATTATACATTTCAAAGTATTTTAAATTATTTTTAAAATGGCTGATATCATGGTAACTTTTAGATATACTCAGAATTAGTTGTTATGGTAGAATTTGATATTTTGAAGAATTGCTACCTAATGATATTCTTAAAAATTACTGGACCATGGTATATTGTCCTGGTGTGGCACTGTGGGTTAATGCGCCAGACTACAAAGCCATTTGAACTGCAAGGTTGGTGATTCAAGCTCACCAGCTGCTCCTCGGAACCCTATTCAGGGTCATTAGGGGTTGGAATCGACTCAACGACACTTTACAACAATAATAACAACATAGTATATTAGTATAAATAAAAAATAAATTTATTGGCTGAAAATATCTATATATGGCACTTCACTATCCAGTACTGTAGAAGAATAATTATTTCAGGCTTAAAATTAAGTTTAAATTGTTTTATTTTGGAGTAATTTTTCTACTAATTTCAAGGTAAACACTTTATATAACTATTTACAAGAGTCTTCTTTTTGTGTTGTGGGTTTTCTAGTAATTTTTTAATCCACATTTATAATGTTCTAAGACCAACCAACAAATGAATACAGTCTACTTAAGGCTTCACTACAATTTATGTAATTATAATTTAATATCTAAAAAAGTTAAACATTACCCTTACACATTTAAATTATTTACTCTATTATACTGCAATCCATTTATTGCAACAAGAAATCTAGCTCTTTTGACTGTATTCACAACAGATACTAAAGTAACTGAAGAGGATTAAAAGAGGCAGCAATATTGCATTTTATGCAAATCCTATATTAACACCCGGATTTAGTCACATAATAGGAAGAGGAAGACAATTTCATTTTGAGCTACACAAATCATTCAAGCTGTTTGTCAGAAGGTGTTTTGTCTGCAAGAGTAAGATACCAGTCAGGAAACTGTTAATACTTAGTTCAAGACTTTAAGATATTTAACAGGAAGTTTCCATGCTTGGCTTTTGTGATAGAATCAGCCTTTGAACTATATAACTGCTGTTCTTTTAGATTAAATGTCATCCATCTTTAGAACACAGTGACATAAATAACATAATAGAATAACATACTTTCGAATGTTAATCAATCATGATGTGATTCTCCATATAATGTCATTGTTTCAACACTATGTTTGGAACTCAAATTTAAACAATTACTTAGATTGTATAGCAGGAATGAGGAAGTTTCACAACAAACTTTCTGAAAATTCAAATTTTAAAGACTTTCCAATTTTAAGTTATGAATAAACCTCTAGAAAAATATTCTGTATTTATATAAATCTCAATTCCCAATTGTAAGTATGCTTTTGTTTATCATTTGTAGGTATGATTCTCTATTATTAATGTATATGCATTTACTTTTTGTTTTAAACTTAAGAAATCAGTGGAACAATTTTATTAGCTTGAAATATTTGCAGTTTGATTTGGTTTCACAGTTAAGATTTTACCTCTTGTGTTTTCTCAACCTTCAGAGGTTTAAAAAGGTCATTTCCTTCATTGCACCAGGAAAATATTAGCACATATAGTAAAAGCAAAAGAACAACAAACAACAAGAACAACATTAAAGAAACCCACTGCCATTCAGCAGTTTCTGCCTCATAGGTCTACAGCTGCAAATCATTAAAAGCAGCAGAAATCCTCACCTTTCTCCTGAAGAGTGACTGAGGAATTTGAACATCTTAAAGGAATAAGATTTGATTGTACCAAGGATGCCAAAACCACTATCTTGATGTGGTTTAAATCGAATAGTAAAGAATTATTTGGGGAAGGGTTAGAGAGATAGAAACACTGCCTTCCGAAATATATACAGCATTAGATGGAGAACATATCGAGAAACAACAGCTTCACATCTTGAGCTTATTTAAAAAAAAATGTTTCTATGACTTTGTATCAATAATTTAAAATCACCCTTGGATGTTAAATAATCACCAAGTGAGATATTGTCTTAATAATATCCTTTAATATTAGGTTATTTGAGATAATTTGGTTTACCATTGTATATTTGTGTGCCACATTCAGGAGCTCCATGCATCCCTGGGCATCTCCAAAGGATCGAATCCCTAAACAGTTTGAAGGATGGAGCTGCTTTATGAGAAAATTGCTGCATACTTCTATGACTTGAGTCAGCTGCAGGAGACAAGCTGCAGCCAGCAAACTTTCGATAGTTTCTTCTTTCAGTTGCAAGACACCTAGATCGTTTGAAAAAGTAAAGTGTGATTATTTGTTGAGCAAAGTAAGCTACAAATATGTTCACTAGTAACATTTTTCAGTTTCATTCTCTATTTGATATATGTTGTTGGTATACTTTTGAGGTTGATGCACAAAAGGGAGTCTGTGTTTAAACACTACTAATTAAGTGACTAAGGAAAGCTAGACTAGATTACCAAAAACAATGGTAGTAAATAAATACCGCCATTACAAAACAAAACAAATAAAACAAAAACAGCAGTTGAATCTTATATCAAAATTATTTAGATATTTAGATTATGACAAAAAAAGCAGTATAGATTATTGCATAGCATCATAAAAAAAAAACAACACAAACAAAACAAATGGTCATTCGTGTGGTACTAAAGATCTTGGAAAATACTATGTGGTAGAGGTGGTTGTTTCTAAACATTATTCCTGGAATTGACCTCTGGCTCTGTCTCAAAAGGAAGAAAAAGTGTCCTAGAATACACAAATGAAGAATTTCTTATTTGAGTATTTTCTTAGATGCAAGAATCAGGCTCTGTTAAAAA